TGGGTGGTGGTGACACAGTCTTTAATCCCAGCACTAGAAAGGCAGAGGCAGGCATATCTCTGTGAGTTCAAGGCCAGCCTGGTCTACAGAATGAGTTCCAGGACAGGCTCCAAAGCTACAGAGAAACCCTGTCTTGGCAAATAAAATTAAATAAAAATAAATTATTAAAAAAAATAGAATTGAAACCAAGTGTGGTGGCTCATGCTTATAATACCAGTGCTTGGGGGGCTGAGATACCACCTGCTGCAAGTTTAAGGCCAGTCTGAGCTATTCAGTCAGTTCCAAGCTAGCCTGGGCTACAAAAGCTAGACTGTGAGTTTAAGGCCAGTCTGAGCTATTCAGTCGGTTCCAAGCTAGCCTGGGCTACAAAAGCTAGACTGCGAGTTTAAGGCCAGTCTGAGCTATTCAGTCAGTTCCAAGCTAGCCTGGGCTACAAAAGCTAGACTGCGAGTTTAAGGCCAGTCTGAGCTATTCAGTCAGTTCCAAGCTAGCCTGGGCTACAAAAGCTAGACTGTGTTTCAAAGAAACCCCAAACCAGAGCTGGGTACAGAGAACCTACCTAACATGCACAAGCATTGCAGAAATAATGGGAAATGAAAAAAAAAAAACTGGAAAAGGGAGAATTTGAGCCAGGTCTTGTGACACAGGTTTGCAATCCTGGGATACTTAGAAGCTGAAGCTGAGTCATAAGGATGGAAAAGTCAAGGACTACCCAAGCTACAGAGGGGATAATCTGTAGACAGCCTCTCTGAAAAAGATTCAAACGGAGGCTTCTAAGCATGGCAAACAAGACTCCTTATCACCTGGCCACTCCCGACCCCTTCAGGAACTGCCCTTCCAGAAGCACTGAGTGGGGCGTGGTTCATTCACATCCTTTACACCTTTGCTCTCCAGTGCCCATTGCCTGGGAAAACCTTCTGAGTCATTCAAATTCAATTTTCAAAACTGCTTAGGTGTCAGCTTCTTGGAAAGGACTCCCTTCACCTCTGTGGTGGTTTGAAAGAAAATGCCCCCCAAAGGGAAGGACACTATTAGGAAGTATGGCCTTGTTGGAGGAAGAGTGTCATTGTGGGGGTGGGCTTTGAAGTCTTTTTTTTCCTCAAGCTTCCCTCAATGTGACATTCAGTTGACTTCCTATTGCCTGCCAGATGTAGCACTCTCGGCTCCAGCACCACATCTGCCTGCATGCCACCATGGTCCCCATCATAATAATAATGAAACTGTAAGCAAGTCTCCCACCCAAATTAAACGTTTTCTTTATAAGAGTTGCCATGGTCATGGTGTCTCTTCACAGCAATAGAATCGCCAACTAAGACAGCCTCTAAGCAAAATACTTCTTCTCTGGTTCCCATAGCATAGTGCCTGAATCCCTCCATCCTTTCCCTTAGCATATACTAGTGTCTGTCTGTTTCTCTCATCAAACTGGACATTTTTCCAGGACAGGAGCTGTGCTGCACTCATTGTAATCCTACTGCCTCAATTAGAGTCAGAGTCCTACTAAATTCTCTAATCATTAACCGGGTATGCAATCTCCTTCTCAGAGGCAGATAAGGAAGTTTCCAGAATCAACTGCTACCTTTAGGCTTATATCCTTGTTTTAGAATTCCAAGATCAATTAGATCTGTGCTCCATGCACACATAACTTTTCAGATATACCCATTCTTGTTTGGATATGTTAATATAGTTCAGATTTTAATTCCATCTATTGGTTTCAAAGGTATTATGTCTCTTTAAATTATCTTTGTAGACCTCTACTTTATGTTGGCTTTAACTTAATTCTCAAAGGATAATCCCCTCATTGCTAATGTACTTATTCAGTAAACAAAAAATTTTATGTTACATTTATATGCCAGATTTTATGCTTGCTTAGAATAATATCTCAATAAGCAAAAAGGCCAGATTCCTGCTCTCAAGAAGATGACTAAGCCAGGAGGTGGTAGTCCGCCTTTAATCCCAGCACTTGGGAGGCAGAGACAGGCGGACCTCTGTGAGTTCAACGCCAGCCTGGTCTACAGAGCAAGTTACAGGACAAGCTCCAAAGCTACCCAGAGAAACCCTGTCTGAAAAACAAAGCAAAACAAAACAAACAAACAAACTGACTAACTACTGAGGAATTTCCAAGTTCTTAGGATCATCTGATATTTGTTTCCAAATGACAATTACAAGGTCCAAAATGCTATTCTCAAATCACATAGCAGTAAAATTATACCGAAAAACTCTAACTCAGTAGCTCACAAGGAAAACAGGGTATCTTTTATCAGATAAATCATAATCATTCATTTCTAGCCTTCACTACTGAGCCCAATGCAGAAATGAAAAGGAGCCAACTAAATGAAGTCAATGGGTACCGAGAGCTCTACCAAAGGAGGGACTACTAACTGGTACCCAGGAATAGGTGGTAACTATGGAGTTCCCTTATTTTTTGTTATTTTTGTCAGGAAGAAGTCATATAATTCATGAGCTAAATGATAACAGAAAAAAACAAAAAGCATCTTCTATTAGAGAAAAAACTTGAATGCTTAGGTAGAAGCTGAATAAACACAAGCAGATAAATACCAACTCAGGCTACCTAAATAGGTTTTCACTGATGCTATTTTGTTACTGCACTATCTGGTAGATTTGCATCTCTTTATTAAAAAGAAGCAAAAAGAGAAGGAGAAGAAGAAGAAGAAGAAGAAGAAGAAGAAGAAGAAGAAGAAGAAG